GCGAAATAAACAAGAATTAAACTGTCCCATAAATTCATGAGAGGTAGTAAATTCGATGAAATGAAAACAATGATATAATTATTTATATTCTGAGTAGGTATGGGTGGGTATGGTGCACTTTAGGACACATGTTTATATTGAGAAAAAGTCTTATTTTGATCCCAACAATTTGTCCTCAAAATATTCAAATCAAATATTGAATCACCCTATATATAATATAAAAACAGGAATGCGTTGGAGGTGGATATGGGAATAATAGATAATATAATATTATATCAGTGAAAGCAAAATTTATTAATTGTCTCTTGGCGATTCATTTGGAAAACATGGCAAAATACAAAATAAGTTGGGTTTGCTGAGTGGTCAAATTTCGTAACGGCATCCGTATCAAAGATAAGAAAAAATTATTATACACATTCTTTACGATTATGTCGAAACTACTGGCAACATATGATGAGATTTTTTTAAGGTGGATCCTGACGCATCACATGGATTTGTTTGACGTTGCATTTTCTAGTCCAAATTCACAACAAGAAGGGGTGTACCTACCCAGACAGCACAAAGTGATCCTGAGAACGTTCTTAGAGTATTTCCGTGGAAGATTTCGAATATTCTCAGAATGTTCTCACAAGGTCGTGCACTGAACGTTCTGAGAATATCCTAAAAACATACAAATGGGACGATAATTCACGTTCCAAGAACGTTCTCATAGGTAATATGTTTCTGAACTTTATTCTCAGAAGTTAAATTTCTATACATCTCTCTCAGAACATACTATGAATGATATATATAACATCCTCAGAATGATCTAGGAATATTCTCAGTATACAGGGTGTTTTGAACCGCATGGGAAATATTTCAGGGATCGATAATATCGATATATAGAAGGAAAATATAGGCCCTGGAAGGAAAAAAAAAACTTCAGAATTCTGAGCTATAAATCGGGTAGGGTAGGAAGAAAGTGATTGGAGAAAATAGCGGTTAATTTGAATTTACTAAACCCTATCGCTACCGCAGATGAGCGTGACAAGTTTCATCAAAATCAGCGAAAAAGATTTTGAATAATCATTGAAAAACCGATTTTTTCTGAAAAATTTGACTCCCTGCTGTATACCAAGAACGAAGCAAGTTAGGACATAATATGTTCATAAAAAACAAAAATTAATCTCTTTCTCAGAGTATCTAATTGTTAAATGCTATGAAAACACCTGGCAAACATGCCTAGAACATTTTATGATCATATATCATATATATATGAATAACATTCATAGAATATGGAGTATCCTAGGAACGTTCCTAGGATATTTGGATGAAATGTTCTATGAACATTCTCGTGAAACATTCTATGAACATTCAGAACATCCTATTCATATTCTTTGAACGTTCTTTGGAATATTCTGGAGGAGGTATGTTGTGAACGTTGTGAGGACATTCATAGAATATTCTGTGCTGCCTGGGTTGTACCTATTCTTGCGGAATATTTTGATTTGAAAAGGATGACGTCGCAAACCAAAAAATAGTGGTATTTGAGTTCGCCATGAAAAACAAAATTTTTAGCGTTCATGTTCATCACGGTCATGTCAATAGCTGTCAATAGACTTGTTTCTTTCAACTCAGATATTTTCATACTGCATTCAGACTTCTTTCTTTGAATTCGAAATTTTTCCTCTGATGAATTCAGACTTATTTCTATGAATTCATGGTTTTTTATTCACGGCAGAATATCACGATCGCGTTTCCTATGTATTCCTTTACATAAAAATAAAAAAAAAATTGTTTCTACCGGAATTTTTTGTAGGAAGTTGTTTTTTTGTTCAATACAGGGTGGAACTTCAGAAACACACTTTGTTTGATAACTGTCGGTTGATTTTTCTCAACAATTCGGCATGAATGTGATATCGAAAAGTTTTCTCATTATTCCAGATGATTAATTGTGTCGACTGGAGGGGTATTTCTGTGTACTGATATATTGTTCCCGTGTGTCGACTCTGTGTCGACGCTGGTGTGATTATGAATAATAAGGGAGTTGAGGATGTATACCAAACTTGTTTGTGCTCCCTGCTTAGTCATTCCATCAAAACGTTCAACAGTAAGGTATCAAAAAAATTGTGTTTCAGGAGTTGTAACCTCCCCTGCACGGGAATGAAAAGTCCTCCTGCAAAAAATGCCTGTAAAATCGTCTGCAAGAAATACGCGCTTGGTTCATGTGATTTTCGATAACTTTACATAGATTCATCGATATATCGATAACTAGTATCGAATTATCGATATATCGATAACTGTAGAATTTTCTCTAAATATATTGGAAAAATAATATTATTTTTGTCGGATTCGTAATACCTAGACAATAGTAATTATATTTTTGAATGATTTTCATTTTTTTTGTTAGATTTGTTCAGGTATGAAAATATATTACGTAGGTAGGTGGAAGTTTTTATACTTTCCAATTAGTTTGGTTGAAGATTCTATGACCTCTGATTTGTAGAAAAAATAAGATCAATTAAAGTTCGGCCTGGAAAACTCGATATATCAATATATCGATATGGTTTCAAAAATATCGATAACTATCGGTAACTATCGACAACTATCGATATATCGATATAAATGTCGATAACTATCGATATATCGATTAACCATCGATATATCGATCTTATCGATATGTTTTGACTTATCGATAATCGATGTTTGATCCAACATCGCGCAGCCCTACTTCAAACATTATTTCATCATTTCATTAAAAAATACAGTCAGTTGAAAAAAGAATATATTCATAGATACTGCAAAGAAAGCTACATCAAACGTTCGCATTATTTCTATTTATAAATGTAAATTCTAGAAAATCACGATTCATCAGTCAATATATCAATAGGGAAGGTTTAAGTATGACAAGGTAAAAAATTATCATCCCGCTGATGAAATGAGCCTTGATAGTTTGCAAATGGGACTGATAGATTTTACCTCGAAGTGGGAAAGACTGTCGATTACTTTATCAGAAGATATGATGGATAGTGGAACTTATTTCTTCGATGAAGAAGAGGAATTGATGTCATCAAAACACAAGTTTTGCGAAAAATGTTTATTTTGTTGCTACCATGTTTTACACATCAAATATACAATTCATACGTCGAGGCCTATCCAAATTCAAAGAAAACCTTCTCCACCACCTTTGCCATCACATTGAGCAGATATATGGGGCGGTAGCTTATTCCCGGAAGTTTAAGAATTTTTCTTGATTTCGGAATGTGTTCAACAAGCCAATCTGCATATTAAGCAGAGACGCTACCCACTGGCTATTGTACTTATTACGATCCTATGCACAAAACATTTATAATCTCCTCTCGTCGCACTGGTGCGATCTCTTCATCCCAGTGGAAGGCGGTATGACCAGCGAATATAAAATATATTGCTTCTATATGCTACGCATGATCATCTCTACATATACCTACTTACTTCATTCGTAATCACAAAATTGGATTCAACCTCGATTGACATTCAAAGAATACATGACATAATCGATTTCTAATTCAATATAATTACAGATGATATGGATATAGATTGGGACCTAATGTGTACGCCCTGAAAATTTCTCATCGAACCCCAGGCAACCAGATGAATGATCACGTCACTGTGACGTCCCTAATTGGTGATTTTCCGTCAGAGACGTCACACGCCAATTTATGACGTCAATATGACGAACTTTCTATGACGTGATAATCACGTCATTACCTTGACGTCGAGTGGACGTCACTTAAATGGGTTCAATGAGACGTCAGTTTCATCACGTTGCAGGGACGTCCTGTCGACGTCCATTTTTCCCAGACCATCTCTGAGCCATGTTTACTTACATTATCATGTGAAACAATTAATTTTGTGACGTACCTATATATACAGGATGGGCATTTTCAGTATCGAGAAGTTTTCAGAAAAACTAATTTTTTCATAAATTTTACACACATATAGAAACATGTACGTCTTGGTAAATTTATATATACGCTACTGACGTTCATAGAAGTATAACTCATTGAACCAAAGTTTTGTTGGAATTAGATATACCCAAAAAGTAGGAGACAACTTTTTTTTAAACTCTATAACACCTCTGATGTATATCTCGGAAACCAATCATATGCTATATATGTATACAAATGAATGGTAATATGGGTGTACCTATTGAAACCGTCACTTTTATGACGTTGCAGTGACGTCTAAAAATCACGTCGGTGTGACGTATTAATTTGGTCGTCATTCAGAAAATTTTCCAATAATTTGCTATTTAGATTTTTGTTGGGTAACAAAGAATGCATGAATATATGTTACTCAACAAAGTGGAACTAAATTCGCCAACATCCTTCTCATTGCTATCAAACCATTCTCGGTTTGCTTACATCTCGATACGAATACGAGTAACTGATTTCATTCTGATGGAGATGCGTACTGAAGGATAGCGCTGCTGAATAAACGATTGAATGGATATGACACCGGAGGGACCACCAAGCAGACTCAACAATGCATAATCAATATTATATGTCATCAAAGGTCAGTGGTGTTTATTACACCATGTTTGAAAAAACTTTCACGTATCATCACCAAATTTGAACGTGATTTTGACGTCATTTCGACGTCAGTCCGACGTCACAGTTTGGTGAGTGTATGACGTCAATAAACGTGAGAAATATGACGTCACTGGGCTGTGACTTATTCACGTCATTTATCACGTCATACGAAGTCAACTCTTGACGCCACCTTGGTCATTCAACTGAAGTAAAAAGACGTCACTGAAACGTCATCTGGTAGCCTGGGACGTCCCAAAAACGTTGGCGTCGTACATCCTCAGGATGTCTAAAATAGATTTTTGGACGTTCGGCCTCCTCGGGACATCCTGTACTATCTGGGATGATACTACACTTCTGGAAATGAATCTTGTTTTAGCACGCTTTCACAGTTATTTCTCAGTATATAGAAAATACGCCGTTTTTTTCTGATTGTGCTTTCTTTTGTTGCAGTCTTCCCCACGTCCTACCCAAACAACCAAGCCGAGCTGCAGCTCTACAGGGTGATGCAGAACGCGTCCCTTCTGCTTTATTACGACACCCTCCTGGAAATGGGAGGCGATGACGTCCAGCAACTGTGCGACGCGGGCGAAGAGGAGTTCCTCGAGATCATGTCCTTGGTGGGCATGGCCTCGAAGCCCCTGCACGTCAGGAGGCTGCAGAAGTCCCTGCAGGAGTGGGTGACCAATCCTGCGAAGTTCAAGTTGCCTCTGGCGCCGGGAGAAGACTACGAACTGGAACTGTCTAGTCCGAGGGTCAGCAGTAATCACGTGTTCTATGACAGTGGGGACAGCGGTAGACCTATGTACTCGCCTTCGCCTGGCGAAGTGTGTGCCTTACCTCCGGTTTCCAGTCCTGGATTATCAGTTAGCAACAAAAGGTATAGTTATACGTTTCAAACGTTTTTCTGATGGGGCGAGTTTTTTCAGGTGTTGTTTGGTTCATACACTGTTATTTCACGCACTGTTTTGTATGTATTCTATTCTTTCACACGCTGTTGTGTCATTATGCTATTACATAAGCAGTAACAAGAGTTGTAAGGGAGTGGAGGGTTTCGAGAAGGGGCAGCTAACTGCATTCACCCTCTGCGACCTGACCAAAGCCTTCGACTGCGTCTCTCACGATATCCTCTTGAAAAAACTTTGTGATTACGGTATCAGAGGAATTGCACTTTCATTCTTCCAGTCTTACCTTCATGATCGAACGCATTACGTTTGCCTTAACAGCAACGAAGCATCTAGATTTGAGGTGATGAAATCTGGAGTACCACAAGGCTCTGTTCTAGGGCCTCTCCTTTTCATCATTTACATCAATGATTTCTTTTATCATATGTTACCAAACAAATGTGTAGTTTATGCAGATGATAGTACGCTAATATGCTCTGACAAAAACTGTCAAAACTTAATTACATCCATGAAGTATGTAGAAAGCCAGGCAGAAAAATGGTTCACTGGAAATCTCTTGAAACTTAATAGAGACAAAACTCAGAATTTGATCTTCTCATCCAACAGTAAAATTAAAAAAGGTGATAAAGTAAATTTACTAGGAATCACGATAGATGATAACCTGAACTGGCACAATCATATTGATGACTTATATGTTCCAAACTTTCGAAGCATATATTTCTGCTTCGACAGTTGAGTTCTAAGATTCTCTTGACAGCATATCACGCATTTTTCAATTATGCATCTTAGGTATGGCATTGTTTTGTGTGGAAACTCCTCATCTTCTGATAGAGTTTTCAAGCTTCAAAAAAAAGCAGTTAGGATAATTGCTAATGCAGATTATATAGACACATGTCGTCCCATATTCAAAAATTTAGGAATAATGCCCCTTCCTACCTTATATATTTTTACCATTCCCTTCTTGAAATCCATGAAAATGAAAATGAATAGATAGAAATGCTCATTTCCATGATTACAGTACTCGCAATGCTGAACTCATCAGATCCTCAAGATATAGACTACATAAATCTGCATCGAACTCTCCGAACACGAAATTGTATAATATTTCACCACAAACATTGAAAAATCTTACAGGTCAAAAATTCGAACGATACATTAAAAATGAACTTTTAGCCAAATGTTACTATATAATGATATTGAGTATATAACTAGCCTACCTGCTGCAATTGATCTTAATGTAAAATGAACCGTATTCTTTATGTCTTGGCCCTATTTTACATTTATATGTTATAGTATTTTATATCTATATATTAGTGTTTTGATGTCTTTTTTTATAACAATTTATTTACAAATTTTTTTATTAGATTCACACATTATTGTATTGTATTGATGTATTGACTTGCTACAAATGTATGTATTTGCATAACGTAGTCAAATAAACGCTATCTATCTATCTATTTATCTATCTATCTATCTATCTATCTATCTATCTATCTATCTATCTATCTATATATCTATCTATCTATCTATCTAACAAGGGGAAGCTTTCGTGACTGTTCTATAATAATATTCTTGGAAATATTAGTGGGATGCAGTCTGGACCAATGGATTAATTAAATTTCTTCGTTATTTGTCTAGCTTTCGAAAATTTTTATTTTCTTTATCATATAGAATTTCATGTTTGTAAGTATACCAATTTCAATTGATGTACATTTATATATTGTTCCATTCGATGTTTTCAGTTAGTCTTGATAAAGAAAATAAAAATTTTCGAAAGCTCGACAAATAACGAAGAAATTTAATTAATCCATTGGTCCAGACTGCATCCCACTAATATTTCCAAGAATATCTATCTATCTATCTATCTATCTATCTATCTATCTATCTATCTATCTATCTATCTATCTATTTCCCCAGCTTCATTTTATGGACACAGTTATTTCACGCACTGTTTTGTCTAAACGTAATTTCATCTGGATGCTGTTATTTCACCTATAATGTTTCGTCTGAAAAAAGACATTGCACACGCTGTTTTGATTGAATGGTGTTTTTTCAGACTCTGTTTGGTACGGGACACGGACGCTGTTATTTCTCGAACTGTTTCGTATTTGCGCTATTTCTTCACGCGCTGTTGTGTTATTTCCCTCGCTGCTTTTGATGGACGCAGTTATTTCACGCACTGAGAACATGTCCTTGGTGGGGATGGCCTCAAGTTGTCTCTGTCGCCTGGGGAGGACTTCGAACTGAAGATTCCCAGGCCGAGGGTTAGCAATAATTTTGTGTTCTATGACAGTGGGGACAGTGGTGGACCTATGTAATCGCCTTCGCCTGACGAAGTGTGTGTCTTACCTCCGGTTTCCAGTCCTGGATTATCAGTTAGCAACAAAAGGCGGTTTTTTTTCAGACGTTGTTTGGTTCAGACACTGTTATTTCACGCACTGTTTTGTATGTATTCTATTTCCTCACGCGCTGTTGTATCAGTATGCTATTATTTCCCTCTCTACATTTTATTTCACGCACTGTTTTGTCTAGACGCTATTTCATCTGGATGCTGTAATTTCACGTAATGTTTTGTCTGAACAACAGGGACATTGCACACGCTGTTTTGGCGGAACGGTGTTTTTTCAGTCGCTGTTTGGTACGAGACACGGACGCTGTTATTTCTCACACTGTCACGTATTTGCGCTATTTCCTCTCGCATTGCTTTTGAAGGACACAGTTATTTCACGCACTGAGAACGTTTCCTTGGTGGGCATGGCCTCGAAGCCCCTGCACGTCAAGAGGCTGCAGAAGTCCCTGCAGGAGTGGGTGACCAATCCTGCGAAGTTCAAGTTGCCTTGGCGCCTGGAGAGGACTACGAACTGAAGCTGCCGAGCAGTCCGAGGGTCAGCAGTAATCACGTGTTCTATGACAGTGAGGGCAGAGGGAGTCCTATGCACTCGCCTACTCGCCTTCTCCTGGTGAAGTGTGTGCCTTACCTCCGGTTTCCAGTCCTGGAATTAGCAACAGAAGGAATAGTTACGTTTTGAACACCATTTTGATTGGGCGGTGTTTTCTCAGATGTTGTTTGGTACAGACACAGACATTTTATGGACAAAGTTATTTCACGCACTGTTTTGCCTAGACGCTTTTCCATCTGGGTGCTCTTATTTCACGTACCGTTTTGCCTGAATAGTGACATTTCACACACTGTTATATCTTGGAGATGTTATTTCACGTACTGTTCAGTATGGCCGATCACATTTTTGCCTGGCGCTGTAATTTCACGCGATGTTTCGTCGGGATAGTGTTTTATCAGCCGCTGCATGGTATGGACACTGTTACTTCACGTACTGTTTTATATGAACGCTATCTCTTCACGTACTGTGGCGTCAGTATGATATTGTTTCCCGCGCTGCTTTTGATGGACACAGTTATTTGGTGCGCTCTTCAAGTTGAAGTTGTCTCTGCCGCCGAGACGAGACTACGAACTAAAGCTGTCAAGTCCGAGGGTCAGCAGTAATCACTACTTGTGTTATGATAGTGGGGACAGTGGTAGACCCATTTACTAACCTTCGCCTGAAGAAGTCTGTGCCTTACTTCTGTTATCCAGTCCTCAATTATCAGTAAGCAACAAAAAGTTAAATTACTACTAGACGAAGACAAAGGGACACAAAAAAGCACAGTTTATTTAGTTTTGTTGGCCCCTTCACTATTTTTTGCACAAAGATAATACCCGTTCATTTCATTTTCTGATCAAAATTTTATGAGTAGGTAGAGTTATACTTCATTCCATGATGAGTTTTTGGTTGGATTTCGGTTTCAAATATATGAGAAATCTCGGAATTCTCGCTTAAAGATCCAGAATGAGACATAACTTTGAATTCCTGAGAGAATATCTTTTAATTCTGAGAAACATTCTCTGAGGAATAGAAATCGAAATTTTGGATAAAAAACTCAAAATTGTGGAAAATCAATAATATCAAAGAAATATCTAGAAATATCAAGAAAAATGAGATATCGATGAGATGATGATGAAAACTTCCAGGATTTGAATAAAAAGTTGAAATTTTGAGAAGAAATCCTGGAGTTTTGTGAAAAATCCTAGTGTTGAGAAAAAATCTCGAATTTCTGTGAAAATAATTTCAGGATTTTGATAAAATCTTGGAATTCAAGAAAAAAAAAACATTCCGAGAAACAATCTTGAGGAAAAAAAATTCTATTGTGTCCACCTTTTGCAGGCAGGCAGGTTCAGCAAGCAGCTGCCTCAGTTCGAGGAGAGTTTTATTTCTTGGGAGGAAAATTTTTTATTTTCGAAAACAATTCTCAAATGTATGTGGGAAATACTTGAAATCCCCTAAAAGATCTTGGAATTCAGCGAAGAAACATCGAATTCCAGAGAAAAAATCCCAATATGTTGGGAGAAATCTTCAAATTTCGAGAAAGAAACCTTGAAATATTCAGTTAAGATGTTGAAAAATATTATTTCCAGCAAAAGTATGAACGTTTCGAAAAAAATCTTCATAAATACGAATTCATTTAATCTTCCTTTTGCAGGCCTTATTCCCCGTTAGACTCAGCCTGCTCGGCCTCCTCTAGCCCAGGAGGCAATGCGCCCCTCCAACTCTCCCCCAACCTAATGGAGAGCCAGATCGCCAAACTAGCGGCGGCCGCCGAAAGGCTCAGCAAGCAGCTGCCTCAGTGCGAAAAAATTTCTCAAAATTACAAGTTTTATTTCTTGTGAGGAAAATTTCCGAGTTTGGAAAAAAATCTCAAATGTCTGTGGAAAATACTTGAAATCCCCTGAAAGATCTTAAAATTCTGCAAAGGAACATCGAATTCCTGAGAGAAAATCCCAATATGTCGAGAGAAATCTTCAAATTTCGATGAAGAAACCTTGGTATATTCAGTTAAAATGTTGAAAAATATTATTTCCAGCGAAAGTCTGAACATTTCGAAAAAAATCTTCAGAAATACGAATTCATTTAATCTTCCTTTTGCAGGCCTTATTCCCCGTTAGACTCAGCCTGCTCGGCCTCCTCCAGTCCGGGAGGCAATGCGCCCCTCCAACTTTCCCCCAACCTGATGGAGAGCCAGATCGCCAAACTAGCGGCGGCTGCCGAGAGGCTCAGCAAGCAGCTGCCTCAGTTCGAACCGAAGCCGCACAACGCGAAGAAGAAGGTGTGCAGGGACCTTGAGGCGGTGATCTCGATGCCGGAGACTGAACCGCGGAGGATGGACGAGATCAGGAAGTACGCGGCGATCTACGGCAGGTATGCCCCCAGACTGAGTAACAATAGATAAACACCGCGATTCATTCATGAATCATTGAGAACTTGAACAGTGTACGCCAACATTCCTTAACGCCAGACACGGTTGAATGAATGAAATCGTGAATGGTGGGGATAATAACTATCGGATTCTCATTGATGGATACGTATTTGAAGTAATCGAACCACCGCTGTTGAGCAGACCTAATACAAGATATACCAACACCAAGCTACAATTACAAACGTACAAGCTTCGGCGTATTCTAATTCGAATTGCGAAAATAACAAAGTAATCCGTGCATGGCCCAGACTGAATACCAATAGATAGACACCGCGATTCATTCATAAATCCAATCATAAACGCCAAACACGGATGCATGAATGAAATCTCGATTGGTGGGGAGATAATAACAGACACTTGCACATTTGCGGGTGAATGTTCAAACTAAATAACATTAGATAGACATCGTGATTCATTCATGAAGCATTAAAAAGTTGAAGAGTGTACGCCAACATTCCTAAACGCCAAACACGGGTGGGTGAATGAATGAAATCGCGAATGGTGGGGATAATAACAGACACTTGTACATTTGCGGGTGAATGCTCAGACTCAATAAAATTAGATAGACACCGCTTTTCATTCATAAATCAGTGGAAACTTGAAAAGTGTACGTCAACATTCTCAAACGCCAAACACGGAGGAATGAATGGAATCGCTAATTGTGGTGATAACAATAACATATACTTGTAGATTTGCAAGTGAATGCTCAAACTGAATAACGATAGATAGACACCGCGATTCATTTATGAATCATTGAAAAGTGTACGCCAACCATCCTAAACGCCAAACATGGATAAATTTATGAAATCGCGGATGGTAAGCATAATAACAGACAATTGTTCATTTGCGTGTGAATCTTCAGACTGAATAACAAAAGATAGACGCGATTCATTCATAAATCAATGAAAAGTATACACTAACGATCATAAACGTCAAACTCGGATGCATGAATGAAATCTCAGATGGTGGGGATAATTACAGACACTTGTACATCGATGGAATGGTTTTCAATTTTTGTTGACACAACAGTAATAAATGAACGCGTAGTTACGTCAAACTGGAATCCACCAAAGAACACAGTTGGTGGATTGATGGAGCCACCAGTGAATAAAAGTACGTCCCTCATATCTATCACAGGAGCAATGAGGAAGGCGCTGGAGACTCTGACCGGACTGCTACCTATCTGAATCTGTATATAAAACATGAGGCGATGATGGTCGCCGTTTGCTTACAAAGCTGTAACCAGTGGAAGAACGAAGGAACTTACGGAAATTCTTGCCTTTGAAAGCAAATTACAGATGACTGCCCCTCACTCAGTATGAAAGGGGATAGTATAACACCGATCTTTCGATTAAGGAAAATGACCCAAGTCAAAATTCCTACTAGAATAGACTGGGAACATAATGGGCACTGCACTATACCCACCAAGGGCATCATCTGGTCATCGAACAACAACTTGCTGTTCGATGATCTGGTATAGCGATGGCTCCAGAATAGAAGAATGCACAGGTGCTGGGATTTATGGGCAGTCTCCAAGGGTAGGTCATCACTATACACTTTGGAAATATGACACGATTTTTCAGAATGAAGTATTCGCTATACTTCCCTGTGTTCAAGAGAATTTCGGAAGAGGCTATCGCAGCCAACAAATCACTTATGCACTGACAGCCAGGCAGCGATCAAGGCACTCACCTCATATAGAGTGACCTCCTCCTTGGTGTCAGAGTGCATGGATAGCATACAATGGCTGTCTGCAACCAACAAAGTATGTCTTCTGTGGTTCTCTCGGCACTGAGGGGTGCCTATAGTAACGAAATGGCCGACGATCTGGCCAGAAAGAGGATGAAGAGCTCAGTGATTGGTCCAGAGCCAGTCTTGGGGTCACTGGATCCTGGAGCAACTCCAGTATGAAGGGAATCCTGATGAAAAGGTTTCAGGACAGCTGGAGAGGGGCTGGACAAAGGCCTGACGTTCTTGTGCCATTCTTCATGCTTTGACAAACCCGCCACAAACCCGTGACATTTTCGTTTCATTCCCTTCGTCCAAACGAGTGACGGGAATAAGTAGCGGGGCTAATTAATAGGATGGCGGGGCTAACTGGTGGGGCTAAACGTCACGGGTTTGCCAAAGCATCAAAAATGGCACCAAAACGTCACAACAACGTCACAGCAACGTCACGGGTTCTCACGAGTCTATCAAAGCATCAAAAATTGCACGAAAACGTCACAGGTTTATCACGAGTTTTTTTTTATCTTGTTCTTTTATTCCCTCTAAAGAAGACCCATTCACTTTTTACTAAAACCAATAGGTTTCGAGTAATCCCTCATCTTTTCCCTCTTGAGGTTTGACTGCAAGCGGAAGCCGGAGAAACCTCTGACGCTGCACGAGGTGTCGGTGAACGAGGCCGCGGCGCAGATCTGCCGGTTCGTGCCGGCGCTGTTGACCAGGAGGGATGAGCTGTTCCCGCTCGCCAGGCAGGTGGTCAAGGACTCCGGCTGCTACTATTCTAAAACACAGTGAGTTGAAATTCTGTATTTTTTGCATGATAGATTTTGTGATTAAAATGTTTGTGCTTAAAGAGCGGGACCTACTGTGCTTGAAGAGCGCGACCTACAGATTATAGTGAATTCTGAACCACTTCTAGAGAGCCGAATTGCTGCCAGGATTACAACAAAGAATCACACACTTTTATGAAAACAGCTATGTAGCGAATGTGAGCGCCTTAGACAGCTTGAATACCTTCCCAGGCAACCAGATGACGTTTCAGTGACGTATTTTTACGTCAGTTGAATGTCCAAGGTGACGTCAGGAGTTGACGTCGTATGACGTGATGAATGACGTGAATAAGTCACAGCCCAATGACGTCATATTTCTCACGTTTATTGACGTCATTAACTCACCAAATTGTGACGTCGGACTGACGTCGAAATTACGTCAAAATGACGTTCAAATTTGGTGATGACATGTAAAAAAATTTCCTCGAACATGGTGTGATAATCACCACTGACCTCTGATGACATATAATATTGATTACACATTGTTGAGTCTGCTTGGTGGTCCCTTGGGTGTCATGTCCATTCAATCTTGTATTGACATGGTTTAGATATGGCCTGAGAAACATGGACGTCGACAGGACGTCCCTGCAACGTCATGAAACTTACTTCTTATTTTACCCTTCTAAGTGACGTTCACTCGACGTCGAGATGATGACGTGATTATCACGTCATAGAAAGTGACATCATAAATTGGTGTCGTCTCTGACGAAAAATCACCAATTAGGGACGTCACAGAGTGACGTGATCATTCGTCATATGGTTGCCTGAGTTGCCCCTCAGATTGATAGATATAGATATTTGACAATGTTACTCACACATAAAATGGGTTATGGCAAGTCAGGGTTACAGTCATATAAAGAACCATCATCTTTCTAAATGAAAACCTAGTTAGTAGGCAAGAGGCATAATATTGTCTATTCATCACACCAATATTTGTAATGGCGCAGGTTTACTGAAATCGAGAGCTCATTTGTTTCAATACAATATTTGTCTGAATGGACAATTTTAGGTTGAGTTTTCAAAAGTCATCAGGACAAATTACAATTTTGATCTGTTTATCTGATTCAAAATATAGATCTCATAAGTTCAAACATTTTCTAACAATGGGAAATCATATCACAGATAATCCTCCTCCATGTTATCGGGGTAGGTAGGTACTACTGTACTTGGATTGAGGCATTTTTTAAGTTGCCTGTGTAGAAATACTAGCATATTTACGTGATATTTTCAATCAGTCTCTTGAAGACTTCTGAGGGTGGCTCATAAGGGGGCAACCGAATGATGGATAAGAACAGTTTTAGAACAATTTTTATAATCCCATGAGACCTAAAAGATCTATAATACCCCCTTTGTTATATTCGATGAGGTTTCTTTCCGTAGCTAATGCAATTTCTCAGGAATTTCAGGACATGAGGTAGGGTAGCTCCTCCTCCTCTATTATGTGTGGCCCTAGGTTTTTTGCTCTTGGGTTCTGTACTGTGACACTTTCCTTAGGTATGTAGATAGAGGTTTCATTCTCATTTCCACAGAACCAGGATATATTTATATTCCTGTTTTAAGCCAAGCTCCTAAGATGCCATTTTAACCAACAAAGTTATGAAGTTCATTGTTGCCTTCGATCTCTTGTGATTATATGTACCCAGTGGTATCTTAGCCTGTCTGAGACCTTGGAGATTTTTCCAGATGTATGATTTCATTTAACCTTTTTCAATTTATTCTGATACAGTATTGTTTAAAGGAATCCCACAGAAGGGTTCTCGCTCCATAAAGAGTGTTTGAGCTCATTTCCTAGAAAGTTTCTCCGCTACTTCATTTCTCTTTACTTTGGAATGTACCGGAATCCATAGAAGGGTAACTGTATTTCTGTTGGCTAGCTCGTTCAGTTTTACCTGGCATTCCCAAAACCATTTTAGAGCTATAACCATCGAGCTCAGCGCCTTAATGGCTGCTACACTATAATGGACATGTTGATGATCTTATAACTAACTAACCATTTCAAGATTGAACTATGCACATTTTTATAGCGTAAATTTCCTTTTGGAATATGTTTAAGAATTTGCCAAATCCTCCGAAGTACTTGGTAGGAGGCCCGTAAACTATTCCAATGCCATCCTCTGTTTCGGAGCCATCTGCGTATTACTTTATGGCTCCTTCTTTGAGCTCAATAATCATGGATTCCCTGTTTCATACATTTTTGCAGCTCAACCTTGTGGTGAATTGTTTCATAAAGCTGTACTTTTATATATTTCTCCTCATCATGAGAAAAGTCATCCTGGATTTGCTGGTTGAGTAGACAGATATTGGCTTGCCTTTGATCACTCTTTCCCTAATCATTCTGTATGTAGGTCTCTTTTAGTCGCATTCTCCACAACTGAATGAAGAGGAATGAGGTCTAAAATCACCTCCATTGCCGCAGTGAGACACCTTCTTATAGAAAGGATAATGCATTCACATAATAGTCTCCAAACTTTCGTGGGATCAGCTTTTGTGGAGGCTCGATTGGTTCTGTCTTTTCAGATCACCATTCCCTATGTGATGATAAATCTCACTAATGTTGTATACATCCGCATATATATGGGGGTCCTAGGGGTACATCCCCAGCTTTTTTATGCGATGTTTCTGCATATCATCAAAGCTTTTGTGGCCTTGTTCATGACTTCCTTTTCGTGTCTATTCTAAAGAAGTTTTTGGTTCTGAATGAGTCCCAAATATTTCATCTCTTGTTTCTCCAGAAGATCGTTGTCACGGTAACATCTTAATTGTAAGTAGTGAGTAAACTTGATTGAGAGCAACATTCGGGTTCTTGGTTGGGTTTGAAATGATTGGAATATCACTTTTCAAACATAAATATTCCGAAAACTTACGATTTAGGAATGAAGGTGTATTAGATGAAACTGTTGAAAATTATGAGAAAATTGCGCTCAACCGCTATTTTGAAACTTTCAGAAAGTGAGTTTTCATCTCCTATTTGAGTCATCCGAATTTTGTACCGATATACCAGGTGTTACGAAAAGTAGTAGGGGGAGAATGGACGGACACTGTATAGAAATATAACTTTGTTAGAGTAAAAGGTTGATCTCTTAATATCACACCCAGTAAGTCCCCTTTTACTCAGGTTTTTGTCAGGAATATTTGTACTATTATTACGAAAACAGTTTAGTCATATCAAAGCAGGTATCACACTCGGATGATGGATTCGATCTGATGCTTCTGGCTTAGGTCCTCTACTTTTTTTTTCAGGAATTCTGTACACTGTACATGATTCATATCGTATTATATCGAACATTTCATACTTCTCAGATGATTCAGCAAATTCTGAGGCGGCTGATTACAACGCATTTCTCGGCTTTGTGCATCAGTGATATTTATATACGGAGTGATCATCTGTACTGGACACCATAATTACTTGATAATGTCCTTTATTCCATGGGGATCCAATAACTTCTACTTTTTTTTTTAGGAATTCTGTACATGATTCATATCGTATTATATCGAACATTTCATACTTCTCAGATGATTCAGCAAATTCTGAGGCGGCTGATTACAACGCATTTCTCGGCTTTGTGCATCAGTGATATTTATATACGGAGTGATCATCTGTACTGGACACAATAATTACTTGATAATGTCCTTTATTCCATGGGGATCCAATAACTTGGCAGATTTCAATGCAAACAAAACACAATAGCATGCCTTTTCTCTAGAAGAGCCGATCTCACTGTGCCAAACATAAGCATGTCAGGAGTAATCATACCTTTGAAAACATCTATTTCGATGCTTGGTATTACTATGAGCAATAACCTTTCTTGGGAAAATCACGTGAGATGAATTGCTAAAAGTGCATCCCAAAAACTTGGTTGTCTGTTTCGGGCCAGGAGCTATTTCACTCCCAGTCAGCTGTTTATGATGTATGAGGCACAGGCCACACTTGTCCTGGAATACTGTTCCCATATTTGGAGTGCAGCACCCAAACATACCCTGAAACTGTTGGATTCGGTCCAAAAAAGGGCAATTCGTCTAGTGGGTAATGCCTCGCTCACAAACTCACTCACTTTTCTGGAACACCGTAGGAAAGTTGGCGATCTGGCTCTATTTTATAGATATTTTCATGGACGAAGCTCTTCTGAAATATCAACAATCCCTTGGCAGTCCCCGCGAGATTAACTCGTCGAGTTCAGGCTTCGCACCCCTTCGTGGTCACTTTGGAGACCTGCAGAGACCATCTCTTTCCAAAGACTCGTTCATCCAACGAACAGCGAGGCTCTGGAACACATTGCCAAGGGAGGTGTTCCCGAGGCATATAACCTCCAGAAATTTAAGAAGAACACCAATTCCTACCTTATTTCCCTTGGTTCTCACGATGTTGTCTGAACATTACAGGATATCATTTTCGTGGGAACCAGAACATAAAAAAAAATGGCAAAGCCAACAACTTCATATTACGAAATATCGACATATTATATCTCTTCCAGGTTATCAACCGTCTACATGAATAAACACATCCACATGGGCCACGACCGGGAGGCAGAAACCTCTCTCTCTCGGACCTCCCGGACCCCGGCCGCCGATGGTGAACCCGCGGCGAAGCGGGCGAAGTCCGAGGCGGACGACGACCGGCAGGTCAGCCAACAAACACACCACAATTACATTTTACGACCACACGTCATAATCAACTTAGAGGATTGAGGCTTCGCTTGGCGCTAACGCTTGGTGGGGCTTTTTGAGTGGTGCTTTCTTGCTTCAGGGCTCGATTATTCACACTAACAAGATGATCCACTTCCATGTAAGATGTCGAAGCCTAATTTGGCCTAAAGTCTTGGCTGGTAGGTAGGGATGCGCTAGCGAAACCAGTGATGGTAACCTTTTATATCAATTTCGCTACACAGACCATGGAATTTTCCCATAAATTCTGAAACAACCAAAAATCTTGCCCTATAACCCGACACACCCAAAGTGTATTAAAAAATTCCAATGTGCGTAGGGAATATCCCTACGGGTTACCATCACTGAGCGACACTCTCTGAAGGCTTTTGATTTAAAATATTTCAATCCGGCTCTGATGCGACATTCCTTCTTGCATAAAAACATCTAAAAATAATCTTCTCATATATTCTGTATTACCGATCTCTTCGCTAATCAACAAAAAGTACTTCTCTATCGGTCATAGATACCTCCACCTACTGAATAGAATTTATGACTTCATTGCTCTCATAAGGATGGTTCATGTTAGTGTGAATAATCAAGATTTTAGGGCAGCAATATTATTTATTTATTCATTTTTGAGATTGGGGTGCATGCATTTTATATTAGATATAAAAAAGTATATATTTATATTTTTTGATGGCTATACTTTGTACATAAACATAAATTGCTGAAAATTTTATATGTAGTATAGAGATAGTTGAATATTAACATGGCTGAAATAAAAGAGCAATGCCGTCAGAGATTTCAAGGTTAGCAATTCTGGTTAACCTATGTGAATATTGCTGAGGTTTTCTGTCGATCAATATCGATTGTTTTCTTCCTAAGTAAAAATATATATTAGAATGGAATACGTCAAATATCAATTGGTGTTGATGTTACTTCGTCTAGCAGAGTGTGATCGAGAGGTCAACTACTTTCCTACTATAATAATTATTTTGTACAAAACATTATTTTTCCTCATGAATTTCCCAAAAATGTTTCGAAATTCTACGAAATTATTCAAAATTATCCGAAGTTCCTGTATAATACTGTCATTCCTCACAAGTGTAATACGAAAAATTTATTCGTGAACATTTCCCAAAATGGCGAGAAATTCACCGAAATCCCTCAAAATTACTTGAAACTCCTTTATTTGCGTGTCATTTCTTAGAAGTGTATGAAAATTCTCTAGATTTCCTCTAATTTTCCTAAAGTTCTCAAAATTCACTAAAATCACCCGAATTTTCTCGAATTTCAATCGGATATCTGAATATTTCCTACAGTGTACGAAAAATTCTACTGTGAAAAATTTCCCAAAATGCCCTGAAAATCTCCAAAATTCCTATAGAAATGACTCAGAACTCCTTCATTCTTCTGTCATTTCTCACAAAGTGTACGAGAAATTCCTCTGTAAATATTTCCCAAAATTCCTCGAAATTCCCTGAAATTTCCAGAAATAACTTAATTACTCTCCGTTCGGCAGAGGCATTCCTTTGTGATATCCCCAAATTTTCTTGAAATTTTCTGAAATTCATCAATGTTCCTTAAAATTCTTCAAAATTTACCAAAATTCCTTGAAATTCTCTGAAATCCCCGAAATTCCTCGAAATCTATTTCCCTGCCATTTCTCACAAAGTGAAATAGAAATTCCTCTCTGAATATTTCCAAAATTTTCTCGTAATTCCCCGAAAATTTCCCTACATTACTTCATAATTCCACACCTCGTTCCACAAGAAATGTGCAAGAAATTATTTGTGAAAATCCCCTGAGATCCCCCATTTTTTAGAAATTGACCCATAAATCACTGGAAAATAATGGCAGTTCCTTCATTTTCCCATCATTTCCCACAAAGCGAACGAGAAAGAAATTCCTGTGTGAATATTTTCCAAAATGCCATGAAATTTTCCAAAATGCCATGAAATTTTCCAAAATTTCTCGAAATATCTCTGAAACTCCTATGTTTCCCTGTCATTTCTCACAAAGTTACCAAGAAATTCCTGTGAAAATATCTCAAAATTTTTGTGACTCCTACGAAATTCCCTTGAATTTCCCGAATTTGGGTAATCAAAATCCTTCTTTGACGTAAATTATATCACAAGGCACTCAGAAGAGAATATATGTTGACAACACTGCAGTAAGTTACTCTATCTAAATTTCCAGGTTGCTAATATTCTACTAAATGAGACATATCTTGGTTTCCATTTGAAACCATTTCAATGATCAATCCGCCTGTGGTTTCTGTCAAATTATTTATCTACTCAGTGGTATAACGTTGAACCAATGTTTCGTGGACTGAAGTGATGGAACGTTCGTGAAATACAATATTATTCAAGGACGTATATAAAAATTAAAATCTCAAATCAAAGAGAAACAAGTGAAATTAGTGAATGAAGGTATAAAGTAAGTAGCATATCAAAATCGAAGTGTCAATGAAAGTATAGGAGTGCTACTGGTGCTCAAGTTCGATATATTGAACTGATTTGAAACGTTACTTCCATGAAACAACGAGAAAACGTTTCCACAAAGAAAAGTGAACATCCAATACTGAAACGTTGAAGAAAAAGCAACCTTATATATGTTATCATGAATGTACAAATATTGATATAATGAGAGATTAGAGATGAAAAATAGATACCTACCTCTAATGAAGATACGTTTCTCGAAGGTTATAGTACCCACATGTGAAATAAGTAATAAAACTTCGAAAAAGAGTTAGCAAGGAAGTTATTGTTATTGGTACGTTTCTTAACCCAAGGAAAATCTAGGATAATTTTATTTTAATGGATAACCCGTATCTATGCATGTGTGTGTGTAAACTGTCCCACAGTAAACCGCTGTACACAGTGAACCATTTTTTATTTTACACCTATTACTATTCAGAGAGAAGCGCTGATGTACGTGGTACGATATATTACGTCACCATATCGGTATCGTCAACTGTCTCAGTCTTCTAGTATATCCGAGAACACCCAGTGAGTGAGATTATGGTAGGTGATTTTTCACTATTTTCGTATTTATTTGGCGATCTTAGGTATCGTCTGTTCAAAAATGTCTATTCCAGCATTGAAAATGTAAAAACTCTTTCAATTAGCCTATTTTTTCACTAATTTATTCTTCGTATTTGTTAAAATTTTACAACCAGTACCGTGTAGAATGAGGCTATTTGTTTGTTTCTTTCAAATCTCATGCCAGTTCGATGAAGTATAATGCCATTGAATTTGAATCTTGGTAATCTGATAAAATGGAATATATTGAGTCATCAAGATTTGTGACTTTGTGACTTTGTGATTAGTCAATTTGAAGATTATTTGAGGTTATACCTACAGAATTTGTATTCACTAAATTCTTGGGCATTTTCAAATGGGCAGCTTTTCTCCTTTGGTATGTTGCTAATCAAAAATTGCAGATGTTCTATTTTTCGACGTACATACAATGGAGTGTCAACTACACAATCCATGGAAATAACTTGTTTATATTTCGATAGAAATTCAAATTGATGACATAACAGAAAAAATATTTTTGGTAGGGTAATTTGGAATGATGCCGCGACAATATATAAACGACTACTTGGTGCAGCAATAGGGCTGGATGATACTCAACAAAAAATGGAACAGGCATTTGAAGCTGTTTTAGATAGGACTTCAAGCTCCCACAAGATTTGGAGATCCTTAAACAATAACATTAACATTGTTCAGTAGATATCGTGGCCAAAATCCGAACGTTTTGGAACATTCGACCGTATTTGACTATTTCTGAACAAATCTTTAATGAAAGCCCAAATAATTCCTGCTTCCTCTGCCTCTTGTCATACTTTCACAAGCAAATATCTACGACTATTCCTACCAAGTTATCGCCTAAAATAAATTTCCAGGAAATTTTGCCAAATTGAATGTATTTTATCTACACAATAAATTTCCCGTGGAAGACATGTTCACAAAGGAAACGTATTATAAAAAACCTGGGGTTATTTGGAATGATATAAAAACATTTGAAACAGGCATTCAATACCTTTTCTTTACAAAATTTGAATTTCAGTCGATAGCATCGATAAACATATCTTACCGATAGCATTGAAACAGAATAATAATTGAAATCCGTTAATAATACTGTAATGATATTCACCTTAAAGGGGCTATAGAACATCATCAGGAAGGCGGGGGTACAACAATCACCCAGTAACATGCGTCCCGGATCACTCTCGGACATTCCAATGATTCTTACATGTACCAGCGTATTTCCGAACACCCAATATGTGTCACGGCGACACATAACCTGACAGAAGAATCTGGAAGTCATATACCGCTTGATATAAATCGGTTTACATAAATAGTAGTTATGAGTTCGATATAAATTAGTGTTCCTTTAGTTGAAATAAATCAATTCGGAAATAAATAGCGTCGTGTTCGCTTCTGCACCCGAATAACGTAACAATCGGTGTCAGAAGTGGAATATTCCAGTATTAAGTGAACAGACCGTAACAATGAAGTAACTGAACGATTTGAAAGTAGTGTACTTGAATCGTGAGTTGGAGGAGATAGATCTCGACACAACAGGGATAAAGGCGACACTACAGCATCGTCTCAAAAAGCATATGGTAAGCGTGGGTCAAGATCCAAAGACGTTTATCTTCGAGGAATCAGCTTCAGCGTAATCGATGTTGGCCGGAATCTCGGAACAGATGTCGTCTCAGCAACATAAGATCTCTGAGCAGATTGCGGCTCAGCAAGGCAAGAATGGCAAGATCACGGACCAGATAGCGGATCAGGGACAGGATATTACGGACCAGATGGTGGCTGAGCAGGAGAAGATCACGGACCAAATGGTGGCTCAGCAGGAGAAGACAACGGACCAGATTACGGCTCAGCGACAGGATATTGCTGACCAAATGGAAATCAGCGAGAAGAAGTTCTGGCACAAATTACTGCTCAACAAAATCAGAACGCATCGCAGATCTCAGCACAACGGCAAGAGGTATTGGATCAGATATCGACTCAACGGAAAGAGATATTAGCTCAGAAAGAGGTACTAGCTCAGTTTTCTACTCAGCAGAATGAGGTTGCCTCTCAGATATCCACTCAACGAGAAGAGGTATTAGCTCAGATTTATGCTCAACAAGATCAGATTGCCTCTCAGATATATGCCCAACGAGAAGAAGTATTGACCCAGATATCAACACATCAGCCTGACTCAGATCGCTCGAGCTCGAGCTATCATGGCTGATATTGAAGAAGATGTTATTCTGGGAATAGACATCATGGGTGCGCAAGGGATTCAACTGGACTTCAGAAGCAGAACACTCAAGGTGGGTGCCCGAGAGATCTTCTCACATCCACGGGAGGGGGTAGCGGCAAGGATAATGTTAGAGGAGGACGTACTGTTACCGAAACGGAGCGAGACCATTGTAGCAGCTCGGATTAAGAGTACATTGGAGCAAGGCAGTCCCATCATCATGGAACCCTGGAACCATGACGAGG